GCTACTCAGAAGGCTGAGGTAGGAGAATTACTTGAACCCAGGAAGCAGAGGTTGCAGTGAGCCAAGATTACACCACTACACTCCAGCCTGGGCGACAGAGTGAGGCTCCATCTCAATTAAAAAAAAAAGAAAGAAAGTTGGTTCAGGATATTATAAGAGACTTGGGCAAAGTGACAGCTTCACTTTTCTGCTCCTTCACTCCCTCCTTGAAGTTCGGAGTCCATCAGTTACTTTGGTAGAGCCTAAATGGATCCATACGAGGGGAAACCCCACCCTAGGTCTCAGTACAGAGGCCCCTCCAAACCTTGTGGGCTGCCCAGTCCATCCAACCCTTGGCATTGGGATCAATGTTGATGAGGACAAGACCTTCCACTGTGTCCGGGTGGTTAAGCTGAGGGACAGCAGAAGGAAGGAAATGAGAAGGAGGCCACGGTCCTCCCCACTAAGCTCTACCCATTCTGGGATTCCCACAGGGCCTGACTCCCCACCCCGTGCCCACTTCCTCCCCCAAACAGCACTAATAAACAGACTTTCCTAATCAGCCTGGACCCTCATTTCCCTCATCTGGGCTTTTTATTTCTTACAGCATATCTCGACAGGACGTAGGCCCCAGCTCCAACACCAACACCAATTATTGTAGAGAAACTGTGAAAGACAAAGAAATATATGCCTCATGGGTTCTCCTGTTCAAAACTTGCCACAGCCCATCCCTTCAAACTCTTCGTCCTCCCTCCTGAGTCCATGGGCACAAAGAAGGGCAGACCTGGACCTTTCTTTGGAGGATGTGAAAAAGAAGGGCCCAAGGAGTTAAAGGTTGGCATGGGTATTCGGGGTAGATTCCTGAAGTCTCTCCCCAGCTTTCTCCTAGACAGCTATTGTCTTAAAAACAAACACCCATATACTAGCCAACCAACACGCTGTTTTCCTACATAGATAGCTCTTTGTGTATTCTCAATTTCCAAGAGCTAGTTCAACTTGTTTTGCTTTAGTTCCTGGTTCCTCTAGAGGAACGGGAAGAATGGAACTTAAGGCAAATGTGAAAACACACACGACTTTAGTGAACAATCAAGAGAATAAGGAAAAGAGCGGCCAAGAGGTGAACCAGCGGTGCTGAGCCCTGCTGCCTAGAACCCAAGCTAAGAACAGCACCCAGGGGTCGGCATCTCCCTCTGAATACCAAAGACACCTGGTCTGGCGTTCTCTTCCTTCCCTCACTCTCTCTCACCCACAGAGCTCCCCATCCACCAGGTGTGGGCATGAAGGAGGGGGGAGTGGGAGGGAAAGAGACAGGTCTATCTGGTTCCTCAGGGATTATGTCACCCCTTCCATTCCTACCTAGCTTTCTGATCAGAGAAGGCCCTCCTCAGCCTGAGGCAGGGCCAAGCAGGGACCCTTTTCCTTCCCTCCATCCACTGGGGCTACTCTGTGACTCTAGCCGTTCTCCAAACCCACCACCTTTTCTTTCAATAATCAAGGTGGGATCATGAAGGAAGAGGATATATTGAAGTCAGAAGCCGAAACTGGCTCAGGAACCATGGTGAACCTGTGAGTTCTAGGGGTCTCCTTGTGCTGGAAAGAGAACTCTGGTTTGGAGGGGTTCCCAGGCCTCTCACTTTAGGTACTGCAGGATGCAAGGGATCATGTCTGCGAGCTGGTCCAGAGATGGGTACTGATATCTGGAAAACAGAGGGATGTTAAGGAAGATACCAACCTGCCCTCACGTCCCCCACCTTTGAATGTCCTACTCATTCTCTCCCGGAATCACCACTGCCCTCCCTTTCCTCCTCCCCAGTCTAACCTTCCCCTGTGCCTCACAGTCTGGTGAAGCGGTAAAGAGCTAATTCTTACCCCAAAGGGAACACAGCGGCTCCCTCTTCCATTCCAGGAGCATCCACGTGAACCCGCACAAAATTCTGAATGATTTCCTGCATGTCCCCAAATTGAAACAGTGGCTGGAAGCAAGATTTATCTAAAGAGAACCCACATCACCCCAACAATAGAATCAGACACAGAAACGTGTCCCCCAACAGAACTCACACTTTCTTTCATGCCACAGTCAGACTAGGAGAGAACTTCTCCTTCTCACTTCTATCCTCCCTCTGGGTTTCTACCCTTCCCCCCACCCTCTTCCCAGACAGGAGTGGAGATGAATGGAGGTCCTTACAGTTGAGTCCCACATCATGGTAGGTGAGGATCGCTGGGCGTTTGGGTTTGGGGGTGCCATAGACAGTGAAAGTGACAGAGCCATATGGTGTCTCCACAGAGTGAGTCTGCAGGAAAACAGGGCACCATCAGGTAGGAGCTAGGCTCAGAGGAGACAAGGCCAGAAAAGGAGCAACACCAAGGTCAGGGAGCTGGGGGTGGGTGGGCAAGGGGGAAAAGGGAACAAAGAATTAAAAACAGGATCAGCAAGAATTGAGGAAAACATCACACTGGAAGATGAGTTGGAGGATAAGAAAGAATAATAAAGATTAGAGAGAGAAGACGAGGGGAAGGAAGGAAAGGAGAGAGGTGGGGAAGGGAAAGGACTAGAATAGAAGGGAAGAAAGTAAAGAGAGAAGAAAGGGCCAAGCAGAGCTGGTCTCTCTACTGGGGAAGACGAGAGCCCCTCCTCCCACCTTGGGACTGCCCCCACACTGTTACCTGTCCCTGGTCCAGGAGGATTCGGGCAGCTAACTCAGCCTCCTGGAGAGACACACACACATACACACAAAAACACACGACCATGTGGCGTCACAGATGGAAAGACAGACAGACGAAGAGAGGCAGGTAAAGAGAGACCAACAGAGACCGAAGACAGAAAGAGATTGACAGAGAGACATGGAAAGAATGAAGGTTAGTGCAGTGACAGGACAAGGGCCTGACTCCCAATTGTAGTGTCTGTGCAGAGCGACTAGGGTAGAGGTGGAGGAAGTGGTGCTGTGGGTTAGAGTAAGATCAGTAGGTTTGGGAAGTCAGAGGCAAGGGGGATGCTTAGAGGTCTGGAATTGAGGCTTGGGAGTCAAAAGGTCTCTGATAACCTTGGCTGCCTCTGGTGTCTGTCCTGGCAACAGCGGCTTCTCCTCTGTGATCTGCACCTCCTGCAGCTCCGCCATGGTGGCCTGGCAGGATGAAGAAACAACGGGACTGGGAGGTTGTCTCCACACCCCCCACATCTCCTCAAACCTCAGGCTTCCTCTTTCAGCAGGAAGATGCAGGGAGCAGAGGGACCCAGGGGTGGAAGACTAATCCAGAACACACAGAGGGCCTTTCCTGCCCCCAGCTTCCTTTCCAGGCGGACTGGAGGAAGCATTGGAAGAGGAATCAGGACACCGCTTCTCTTGATACTCACCATTGCCACTGCCACCCTCAACACCCACACCTCCAGACCCCCTCCCTCCTCTGTCCTGGACCAAAACACCAGGGTGGGGCAGCAGTGTAGCTCAGATTTCCCAGGCTATATTTAGGGGGCCACCCCACACTCTCAGGTAGGGAGTGAAACTCGTAGCTCAGTGACTGAGTGTTCTAAAGGACAGGGTACCAAAAGACAGGATTGTGAGAGTTCGCAATTGAACATGACCTTCAGTTAAAGCCCCAAGGTCGTTAGCTTAAAGGAAAGGGGGCTAAAAATGACCAAAGCAACATGACCAATGGGAGAGGTGTGGAGGACAACATAAAAGGGACATCTGTCTAACCAACCCAGTGCCTCCCTTCCTCCCAAGACTCTTCCTTCCAACTCTGAATAAATTCCAGTTAAGTTCAACATTAGTGGAGCAGGTGAGGAGCAGAGCACCTGGACAGACCTGCACAGGAAAAGCCTGCAGCCTGGGGGGTGGGGTCACTTACTGGGCTCCTATTGGCTGGATGCAGTGGGATTAGGGGTCAGGGTTCTCACTCCTTCTGACTCTGGGGTCTGAGAAAACACAGCAACGAGGTGAATGACATGGGAGACAGACCCGGGGTCTTTTAGGGACAGAAAGCCTCAGCCAAGATCCAGACTGCCAGGGTCACCAACCTCCCGGGGTCACTAACCCTCCCCAATATCTACAAAAAACACGTCCTCTCTAGGCTCGAACTGGAATCAATACAGGCTGCAGGGACATCAGTTCAGGCTGTGGGGAGGAGAGAAGGAAGTGCTGATGTGGAGGAAAGAGTGTGGCCGTGTCAGAACCTCGGGATTCGAATCCCTGCTCTGCCACACCCAGTGTGGCCTTGCCCCAATTAATTACTACATTTGGCCTCAATTTTCTATCTGAAGGGGGACTAAACGTGGGGACTAGGGGATCCCCAAAATTTTTGACAGCTCTCCAGTAAGATGAGAGTAGCAGAGCATGGCTGTTTCCCTCCACCATTTAAAAACAAACAAAAAGCTTGGTGCCGTCGCTTCTCTCCTCTACGCAGTCTCTGTGTAGGTCCCACGAGTGGAGAAAGGGAGAGGAGGGCGGTCCCACAATCTCCTCCCGGTCTCCCCCGACGGCCCGCGAGGGCAAGCGCCTTCGGGAAGGGACGGGTGGGACAGAGGAGACTGTTCGGGCCCAGCACCCGGAACCCGTCCCTACTAGTCCCTAGGCTGCCCGTCCGCGTGGAGACAGACACCCTTCAGCGGCCAGTGCCAAGCGACCCGGACCTTGCACACAACCTCGCGCGCACCCCAAACACGCCTTGCCGCTCCCGGAGCCTCAGCCTTTGTGCGCAGCAATCGAGCGCCTCCTCCGTGCGGGCCCTTTCCCCCGAGCCGTCAGTTCCGGGGGAACCGGGATCACTCAGCCCACCGGCCCCGCTGGTGCTTTCCAGGCCCAGCCGCCCCTCGCCTGCCCCTCCCCCTACCTGCTGCCGCAGCGGCCGCTTCCACCTTCACTTGCCTTTGACTCGGGCCCGCCCAGACTCGGGATCCCCGCAGACCCGCCCCCGGCCCGCCTCAGCCTCCCCAGCCCGCCCACGGGCGCATGGCTTCCTGCAGACCCGCCCCAGACCCCCAGTAAACACGCCCCCTCTTCAACCCGCCCAGACTGCAGCTCAGGGAGGGGTGGTGCTCGGGCCGGGGGGTGGCGGGGAACCGGCGGCTGGACGCTTCCAGGCTCCGCGGTGCTCACCATAACATCCTGCCCGCCCACCCCCGCCACCCGCGCAGCGCGCATTGGGTCGGTGTGGGGAGTACGGGGATCCCTCAGCCTGGGGAGGGATCCCTCGGCTGCCCTCGGCACCGCCCCCACCCATGACCTGGATCTGGGATTCGCACTCTGGCTCCTTCCTTCGTCCCCCGACTCAGCGGTGGGAACCGGTAGTGGGGAGACGAACCCGGGGTACTGACAACCCATGAGTTCGAGTTCCCCTCCCGAACACGGAGAGCTAGATTAAGGGAGGAGGAGGTGGGCGGGACCGCCGCTGAGGAGGCGGGGGTCTCGCAGGCTGGCAAGGACAGGTGTGCCAGCGCCGAAAGGGGGCACGGGGGGACGTCGAGGACGCAGAAGTTCCGACTCCCTAGCGCTCAGAGTCCTGGTACCTCCTCTCTTTGCTGCGTCCGGACGCCTGCTCTCCGGCTGCTCCGGGAGAAGTTGGACAACAAGGAGAGCGGGGGGGGGGGGGGAGGGGGGGGGTGGGAGGGGGGGGGGGGGGGGGGGGGGGGGGGGGGCGGGGGGGGGAGGGGAGGGCGCTCGCAGGGGGGGGTGGGGGAGAGGATGGCCAACGGGGACTCCGAGGTCAAGGCCTCGAGGGGGGATAGGGGAGGGGCCGGAGACCCCCAGAGGCTCTGACTCCTGGGTAAACAGGAGCAGGGGCGGAGTTAACCCTGCGGGGGTGGAGTAGGGGCTTGGGGAGAACGCAGTGTCCCGGGCTGAGACCCAAGAGACCCTGTGGCTTCGCAGCTAACCCCTCCCAGTCCGGCCCAGAAAAGGAGACCAGCTCAGACCTGCTGAATCGCAATGCCCAGGCGATGGTCTTAGGAACTGCGGCGTCCCTCTTGGTGCCTGAGTGGGTATGCCACCCCAGACTTCAAACACATACACATACACACCACCCCAGATGAGCCCTCCTTGTGCCCCTGAGAGGAAGGCTCCCTGGAATGGGATAGTTGATTAGATGACGTGGCTAAGGGAATTCGAAGTTGTTTAGGCAAAAGGAAACCTGACGGAATTTCTCCCCACCTGTCCCCCTTGTAGCTCCTCAGTCCCAGGATCATATCCACCCCCTCCCCCTTCAGCCTAGTTCCTGAGTTGCCATTTCGAGGGCTGGGCGCCAGGCCAGTCAGGAACAATGGCCAATGGAACTTGAGCTGCCAACTGCAACACCAGCACCGACTGCCCCCCCAAGACCCCCGAGTTTCCCTGCCCCCTCCTGCCTGGGAACCACCCTCCCACCGCCACCCTCACCACCCGCAATACCCCTCCCATCCAAGGAACATCAATGCCCCTTTCATCCCCACTTGGCAGGGTCTACTGGAAAGAAGGAGCGGCCAAGAGGGAGGAGGTGACCCAGAGTAGGAGAACTGGTCGGGCTAAAACCCAGCCTTCAACAACCCCAAATCTAAGGAGCCCCCCTACGTCCCCCAGTTTGGAGAACCCAACTTTTCCTCTGTTCCTTTCTCCCACTCCCTTTATAACTTTTTCCCCAGAAACTGGCACAGAAGCTGGGCACCCTGGATCCTCTCCTAGTCCCCTCTTCCCTCTGGGTGCCAGTTTAACACTCTCTTGGACAAGGAAAAGCCTGCTGGAATGAAGGTCATAGCCAAAGATGCGCAAGACACGAGAGATCTCACAAGCCCCCGAGGAACTTGGGGAGAAGGAGCGCCTCAAGTGAGGGCTTTTGCCTGCAGGCTTTTATTTGCGGAAAGTAGTCTTACTTGGAGTGGGGGAGGGAAGGACCTGAAGATTCCAGCATCTAAATTCGTCTCTGGGTCAGGATGACTCAGGGGGAACCTGATAAGGGGCCTACGCGGGGGCGCGGGGCGGGCAGGAGGTGGGAAATTTCCACTGACATCCATTGGCTTCCTAGACCTAGGGGTCTCACCCAGCCTGCTGCAGGCAGAAGTAAGGCTGGTACCACCCCAAGATAGGGTTCTTCCATGTCAGGGCAGCTTCCAGCCCGATCAGTGTGTAAGTATCGCAAGGACAAGCTCTCTCTCTAAACTTTCTCTTTGGCCAGAGCAGCTTCAAACTATACCTTTGACTAAGCAACAGTTTTAAGTATCTGTTATGTGCAAGCCACTGTGTAGATGAAATTCAAGGTGTGAGTCTGGTCACACCCTCTCTAGATGTTTGTGATGGAGTAGTCAAGAGAAGGTACAAACACAGGACAAGTTAAGAAAAATTATGTAGGCAGGGCCTAGTGGCTCATGCCTGTAATCCCAGCCTTTTGGGAGGCCAAGGCAGGCAGGTCACAAGGTCAGGAGTTGGAGACCAGCTTGACCAACATGGTGAGACCCATCTCTACTAAAAATACAAATATCAAATATTGGCTGGGCATGGTGGTGCGGGCCTGTAATCCCAGCTACTTGGGAGGCTGAGGCAGGAGAATGGCTTGAACCTGGGAGGCAGAGGTTGCAGTGAGCTGAGATCATACCACTGCGCTCCAGCCTGGGTGACAGAGTGAGACTCCATCTCAAAAAAAAAAAAAAAGTATGTATATATAAGATCAAATATTTGGACAAAAGGTCCTACAGCAGTAGTTTCCCACCCTTCTCAAGTGGGAGATCAGAGATTTCCATCCTCACGTAATAGTTTTAGTATCTCCTGATGGAGAAAATACAAACTATGAATTCATCAGTACTTTGAAGTAAGTTTCTGTCATAACACCTGTGAATGTAGTAATACCTACACATGCAAGGCATATTATTTACTCAGTTCACACTCACTCTTCATACATACAGATTCTAGGGCCCTTTGCAAGATTTCAGAAATCCTCACGCCAGGAGGCTGTGGCCCACAGTCTAGAAACCATTATCTTACTATAATTCAGGGAAGGAAAAGGGCTTTGTTCCCAGGGTGAACCACCCAGATGAGAAGTGCAACCATGGAATATTTGAGTGGGAGTGAGAGGCATTCTATCCAGGCAGAGAGAGAGCATGAAGGACAGTGTGGAGGCAGAAACACCAGGTTACTCTGGAGAACTGCATAGTAGCTTCCTATATGTTATTCCCTAAAACCATAAGGTTAGTGTTATTGTCCTCACTGTACAGATGGGAAAATGGAAACTCAGGAATGCTTAGGGACTTGCCCAAGTCCACTCTGCTAGCAAATGACATATCTGGGATTCATTTCCCCACCCAGATCCATTCCACTCCAGGGACTATGCTCCTTCCACTACCAGGTAGCCTGTCAAGTGTATAGCAGTTAGGCCATATGACCCCAGCTGAAGAATAATCTGGTTCTTAGATTTTTTGTTATTTATTTATTTATGTGATGGGGTCTCACTCTGTCAGCCAGGTGGAAGTGCACTGACACAATCCTAGTTCACTGCAGCCTCAAACTCCTAGGCTTAAGCAATCCTCCCACTTCAGCCTCCTGAGTAGCTGGGACTACAGGTGCATGCCACCACTACCAACTAATTTTTATTATTTATTTATTTAGAGACAGGGTCTCACTTTATTGCCCGGGCTGGTCTCAAACTCCTGGGCTCAAGTGATTCTCTCACTTTGGCCTCCCAAAGTGCTGGAATTACAGGCATGAGCCACCATGCTCCATCCAAGAATAATGTTGATGAGAGGTGGGTGAGGTTTGGTAAGGTAGATTGGGGCCTAGTTAGTTGTACAGGTCCTTGAATGCTAAGCAAAAAGATTTGGCAATGAGAAGCTGTAGTATATCTTGAGCCATAGAATATTCTTGAGCAGGAGTAATAAATACACTGTCATGAAAAATTAATCTGATGAGGAGGAGGTAATAGAGATGGATTATGGGTGGGTGAGAGTGAAGAATTAGATTTAGGAAAGAGATTATTTAGAAGCCAGAGTAGTCATCCAGATATGAGATGATAAGAACCAGAATAAGGGTGGAAGTAACAGGAATAGAAAGAAAGGACTAGATTTGTAAGACAAAGAAAAAAATAGAAATTGGTGGCATTATTAGATGGGAAAAGGAAGAGAGTCACCAGTCTTGTTCTGTTTTAGGATCTCTGAGGTTCATCTATCTGTAGGGCTTCTGGCCAGAGAAAAGGCCAAAGAGAGAAAACCCTGAGGAACATCTCTGACCTGCATAGAAACTTATCTGAAGATTTTCAGAATCTGAGCCTCACCCTCAGTCTGACCCAGTTTTATCCTGATCTGTCCACATCTGTTACACTCCAAGGCCTACTGGGCCCAACGTTGGAAGCCATTTAAAGTTTCCATTGAGTCTGGCCCTTTAAAGCCAGTGGGATTCTCCATGCTGGTCACTATCCATGGGCCTTGAGACTGGGAAAAAAATACCAACCTGTTTTCATTAACCCCTGTTTTCATTAACTGCTATGGTCTGAATGTTTATGTCTTCCCAAAACTCATGTAGTAAAATCCTGACTCCCAGCCGGGCGTGGTGACTCACTTGGTGACTCACTCACAGGTGACCTGTAATCCCAGCACTTTGGGAGGCTGAGGCAGGTGGATCACTTGAGGTCAGGAGTTTGAAACCAGCCTGGACAACATGGCAAAACCCCGTCTCTATTAAAAATACAAAAATTGGCCAGGTATAGTGGCGAGTGCCTATAATCCCAGCTACTCAGGAGGCTGAGGTATGAGTCGCCTGAACCCTGGGAGTAGAGGTTGCAGGGACCCAAGACCACGCCACTGCACTCGAGCCTCAGTGACAGACCACAAGACTTTGTCTCAAAATAAATAAATAAATAAAATAAAATCCTAACTCTCAAAGTCATGGTATTAGGAGATGGGGCACTTTGGGGGGTGATCAAGTTTTATGAAGACAGAGCCTTCCTGAATGGAATTCCTTATAAATAGGCCCAAGGGAACCCATTCACCCCTTCCACCATGCAAGGACACAGCAAGAAGGTGCCATCTGTAGACCAGAAAGCAGCCCTCACCAAATACTGAATCTGCCAGCACCTTGATCTTAGACGTCTCAGCCTTCCAAACTGTGAAAAATAAATATCTATTGTTTATAAGCCACCTAGTTTAAGATACTTTGTTATAACAGCCCAAACAGACTAAAACACCTTCCCTGGCTCACCTCAACTTCTGTTGTGGGGCGGAGCATAAGCAATTTGACTAGGACCCTGAGGATGGGTAAGCAGCGCTGAAATGATGGAAATGTGTTCATATGAAAAGGTCAGAAAGTTGGCAGTTTGCCCAATTCAGCATGCAAGGTAGGGAGACTAAAAGCCCCCTCCTTTGAAGGCAAGGACTATAGCTGGAGCCAGAAGTGATGTCACATAAACACTGCTGAGGTCATAGAAGCTTCCCTCTCCTCCCTCTGTCTCCGATTGCCACAGCCAAGGGGCTCCCACATATCTGCACGCACTTAAATACAAAGGCCGGAAAGTTCAGACCACCATCCAGGTACTCTTAGGTACACAAAAGAGGGGGGAAAGAGAGGACCATTCAGTATGTAGGATTCACACTGTTATCTCCAGTGCTGAGAAGGGGAGACTCATGCTGTAGCTGTGTAGGTGCAATGGGAGCGGGGAGGGAGAGAGGAGAGAGCAACAGGGAAGAGGGGAGCTGTTCCTGTTGCTGACTGATTTTACCTTAAACACTTGTCCTCATTACTCCACAGTCCTCCCTCCCCCTCCTCCTTCACCCCCAAGTCTCTCCCACGACCTTCCTCCTCCACCTCTAGCTGACCATGGAATCAGAGGCAGAGAAAACATTCCATCGGTTCGCTGCCTTTGGAGAATCATCGAGCAGTGGCACTGAAATGAACAACAAGAACTTCTCCAAGCTGTGCAAAGACTGTGGCATCATGGATGGCAAGGCGGTCACCTCCACGGATGTGGATATTGTGTTCAGCAAAGTCAAGTGAGGAGCCAAAGATATGGGGGTGGGGGTGATAGAACGTGCAAGGTAGTTGGCCATGGAAGGGTTCATGTGGTGGAACATTTGCAGTGGGCCTACCGAGGACCGCAGGGTACCCGGCACTGAGCTACTCTTAGTCTTTGAGACACTCACTGATAGGACAGAAGGGCCAAATCTGAGTGAGGAACGAGTTGGACCTTGGAAGGTAATGTGTTCATGCTCTAAAGTTTCTGGATTTCTGTCTAACTGACCAGGGCCAAGAATGCCCGGACCATCACATTTCAACAGTTCAAAGAGGCAATGAAGGAACTGGGCCAGAAGCGCTTCAAGGGGAAGAGCCCAGATGAAGTCCTGGAGAACATTTATGGACTCATGGGGGGCAAGGACCCGGCCACCACTGGCGCTACTGTGAGTAACAGTCTTCATCCCTACCCCTTGACCCACTTCCCTAAATCCCCGTTGTTCCAGTCTGGCCTTGCTAACCCTGCCAACATGTGACTGTACAGACAGGGCAGAAACAGACTTTAGAGATTGTCTAGATATCCCAGAAGTGAAGAAAATGCGGCTCAGAGAAGGGAAGTGACTTGCCCAAGGTCCATGGCTATTTTAATAACAGACTAACTCCCAAGTCTCCAGTAGCTGAGCCAGGCAATTAAGGCTTGGTGGCTTTTGGAGGACATTAGTGTAGAGGATTTGGTACCTGATGCCCACTCCTCTTCCAGTTTTTATTTAGGATTTAATCTCAGGCCTCCTGCCTCTCACCTACTCCCTTTTTCAATTGTCCGCTCTGAACTAAAAGCTCTTTCTGCAATGGATATTGGGTAGGGGGTTGGAGGTAAAGTCCTCTGGCAGCAACCTAGCCAAAATAAGTCCTCTGGAAACAAAAAAAAACCCACCCTCCCTCTGCACACACCACACCCATTCCCACACCACACTCCTCTCCCCGATGAGTGGATGGCTCTTGTCAGAGTTCCTGCCCACAGCTGCATCTGGGCCCTAAGAAAGCAGCACCCATGCCAGCAGCAGAGCAAGAGCTCCCAGCACTTGTTCTAAGTGTCTCTGGCCATCTTTGGGGAAGGGATGTGACAGTGTAAGGGAAGGAAAAGGGCTCAAATCCGTCCTCTGGCTTGCAGAAAGCAACAACAGTGGGTGCAGTGGACCGTTTGACAGACACCAGCAAGTACACCGGCACCCACAAGGAGCGCTTTGATGAGAGCGGCAAGGGCAAGGGCATCGCGGGACGGGAAGAGATGACTGACAACACAGGCTACGTGAGTGGCTACAAGGGTGCTGGCACCTATCATAAGAAGACCAAGTAGAGAGGAGCTTCATCTTAGCCTGCTAGTCCCCTGACCCTGCATGTTTAACACCAGGGAGCTTGGAAAACAATAAACATCTGTGTGTGTGCAGCTGCTAAAAACTCTGTCTATGAGGGACAAATGGGTCTGCTGGTGTAGAGAGAGAGAGAAGAAATAGCCGCAGGAGTGTGGGTTCTCAACCACACACCCTTCACTCTGCTTAGCCTTATGCCTACCAGCCATCAGTTAGCATTCCTGCTCAACAGCTGCTTCCAAGAACAGGGTGGAAGAATATATTTGGAGTTAAGAGATGAACCAGTTGTGGAGGTAAAAGTATTTGCTAATTGTGTTCACACATGACTGGTATTCACCTCTCCACCCCACCCCCCAATAGAGTGTAGCAATTCCTGATGTGATGGACTATGAACAAGATACCACCTATTAGACCTTTCCCTGTCCCTCCACCTTCCTCATCTGTTGCAATTCAGGTTTTGCTGGGGGGTAAGTAGAAGCCAGCTAAGCCTGACTTCTGTTACAAATTTGTTCCAGAGCTGGGGCAAGGGGAGAGTCTATTTTCAACACCCAGCCCAGCACTGAGCTTTGCCCCACATCACCTCCATCATGGTGTACATGGGACAGAAGATCTTAGTGACTGCTTAGGGTAGCCCAGGAAGATGACCAGGCGGGGGAGGCTGCCAAGATTCCAAGAGTAGGAGTTCCGGTGCACTGAAGAAAAAGGAATTAAAATCACAACAGAGTCAGATGTGCGTTCTTAACTTTTTATTTTGAAATGATAATGGATTCACAGGAAGTTACAAAGAAATAGTACAGAGGGGTCTCGTGTGCCCTTCACCTAGTTTCCCTCCATGGTTACATCTTACATACTCAGATGTGGTTTTAGAAATTTATATTTGATTAGAGCTGGGCCTGCCTCATTTCCCTGCCTGGTCAGGGGCAGACTCTTGAGTCTGGGGGATTTGGGAGGAGCTGCTAGAAGAGAAGGGAAACAGGAACCTCTGGGGGATGGGTGAGAGACAATACCTTGAAATGCCAGTAGCCAAGGTAAGAACACTGGAAGAAAAGTAAGTTGGAAAAAGGAAGACAGGGTAACTAAGGTGGTTGAGAGTGTGAGGGAGAGACAGCCCTAGGCTCCGTGGTAAGAGGAAGGAGGAGAGGACAGTTGTATGAAGGGAGAAGCAATGAATTCACAGAGAGAAGCAGGCTGGAAACTGGGGGTTTCGGGGAAATGTGGCTAATATGAGTCTAAGGGCCTCAGGGAGGTTCCTTTAGCTAGCCATACCCCCTGTGTAGGTGCATGAGTGGAGGTGATTGTAAGGGAACTCGGGGAGCCTTAGATGAGAAGGGTGTTAGGGATGGGGAGGTGAGACTCAGAGCTGGTGCCTGTTGCTATGGTGTAAGCTGAGGCCCTGGGCCTCCATCCAGGACTTAGGATCTGGCTCAGTGGGTGGACAGTCACTGCCAACTGGACAAAGTCAGCTTCTTGGGTGGGTTTTACTGTCTCTGGGAGAGGGAGGATGATGAGGAGATGCGAGTGTAGAGGGGGTAAACAAGCTGGAAAGAACCTAGAAAACAGCACCACTTTGCATGGTGATCAAAGCCCTGGACATTTTCCTACCCACCTGGTCTCTTGGGAGGGGACCCTGCCTGTCTTGGAATTCAGGAAGGAAGTCTTGTTACAGGGATCAGAATGTTGGAAATGGAGACAGGCTGGCCTGTGGTGGTAAAGGTTGTGGAGTGGCTCAGGAGTTAAATGCCCTAATGGAGACCAATGATACCTATTGGCTGAGCCTCATACTTGCGAGAGCAGAGTAGGTGGGCCCTTTGGTTGGTTTCAGTGCTATTGTAGTAGCAGCTGATGGTTGGCTGTTGGTGGCTCAGGGAGCAGACTGTGATGGGGAAGGCATCCTCAGTGAGTGTGCAGTATTCATTGTAGTTTTCACAGAAGCTCTCACTTTCCTTGCAGACCTTCTGGATGGCTTTCCAAGGGGCATGCATCACATAATGGATCTTTGAGCAATGTGAAGTTTTTATCTTTCCTCGCACATAGGCCATCAGACCATTACAATAGCCCTGGAAACCACTTGGGTAGATAACCTTGGGATAGTCGACGTTTAGGATACGGAAGTTCCTGGTGCCAAACTGCATCTTGATGTCCGTGGCCAGAGTTGGCCCTAGAACAAGCTGGAGGAAAAGGAGCTGGGTCACAGCTGGTGCCATTCTTCCTGCTGGTAGAGTTAAGGTGGTTGGAGGCAGCAGTGGGCCTAGAGTGGCTGTCTGCCCCATCCCAGAGCCTCCAGCGTTCCCAACCCAATGGTACTTCAGAGATTGACTCACCCATAACCCAGTCCTCATGACCCAGAAAGAGAAGATGTTTGCCCAAGGCCACCCAGCCAACCAGCCACCTTTAGCTTTTCCTGCTCCCTTGGTCCACCACAGAATCTCAGCCTCTGCAGAATCTGTGAGCTGCAACATTTGCAGACTAAGAGCTCTAACTGGTCCTTGGGTAAGAGACTCTTCCCAGTTATCCCTGGGCCCCTGGCATCCCTGCTAGTAAAAGATGAAGAGAGGAAAGAAGGAGCAGGCTGACCTGATAATTCTCTGGCAGCTGGGAGGAAGGACAGGAGCTGAAGACAGCTGGTTGGGGACAGGTATTCTTTTTGCCTGAGGCCAAGACAGCCAAGAGATGAGGAGAGGCTAGAAAGGTTTCTGGATAAAGATCAGTCTGGGAGGAGGGAGTGTCCCCTGAGTTTGATGGGCCCCTGTGCTGAGGGGGTTGGATGGGTGGGAGGAAAGAGGCATTGCTATCTGGTCTCCTCCTCTATGGTATCATTAGAACACTTAGTTCCAACCTCCTTGCCAAAAGTTCCTAAGTGCCTGGGCTTCCTTTGATGTTTTCTCTGTTCCATAGGCTCTGCTCTCATGGTAAGGTGAGTAGGAAAGCACTGTTATGTTTCTGAGGAACAAAGTGCTTCTTATTCCTGACCCTCAGAGAACAGAGGTTCATCACTTTGTCATCCCACTCATGGGAGTCCAGGAGGGCATGTACTCAGGGGCCTCCCACCAAAGCGCTGGGCTGAGAATCAAAGACCTCCATGTGGACTCCCCACAGCCCCCATCAGCCTTATTCCTGTCACACCCACAGCCCTCACCTGTGACCTCAGGCCCTGTCAGAGTCTGAGCACTGCTGGATATCTCTGCATGCTGACTCTGAAGCCTCAAACTTGGCAGGTTGGATTTGAAAGTATAACCTGAACCTGAGGGGCTGTGAATGCCAGAGCCTGGGGTGATCCATTTCTTGCTGTTGGGTTGTCTCTGAGTGGTTTGCCATGCTGGGGTAAGGGCCGCACTCCTCTCTTTTTCATCAACATCTTGCCTTTCATCAGAATCAAAGAGCTAGCTCCCTGGAGCCTGCTAGCCCTCACCCTTGGCTTCCACAAGTCACTCTGCCTTGTCTGTCTGTAGGGTGTCTTCCAGATTTGGGGCTTCCTCTTAGAAGAGCCTTTTCACTCTTGCTGGATAGCAGAAGAGGGGAATCAGAACACAGAAAGCTGAGTGCTCCAAGACCCCCAGTATAGCTCAGGAGGAGGGAGGAAGGCTGCAGAGACAGATTAATGTTCCTCATGCACAGCCCCCTAAACTGGCACTTTCTGACAGCACAAACTACAGTCCAAAATGGAATCCATGCTCCCCGCAACTTGTTTCTCTTCCTGTGTTGTGTGTCTCAGTTTCCCCGGTTATCTATGCAGGAAACCAGAAAGCGATCCTAGACCCCTCCACCTCCCCAATCCCAGCTACTGGGAGGCAGTTCTACATGGTGGTTAAGATCAAGACATTTTTTTGTTATTGTTGTTCTTTTTTTTTATTATTACATTTTAGATTTTGGGGTATATGTGAAGAACATGCAAGATTGTTGCATAGGTATACACATGGCAGTGTGATTTGCTGCCTTCCTCCCCTTCACCTATATCTGGCATTTCTCCCCATGCTATCTCTCCCCCCCCCCCCCCCCCCCGTCCTCCCCCATTTCCCCCCAACAGACCCCAGTGTGTAATGCTCCCCTCCCTGTGTCCATGTGTTCTTATTGTTCAACACCCGCCTATGAGTGAGAACATGCGGTGTTTGATCTTCTGCTCTTCCGTCAGTTTGCTGAGAATGATGGTTTCCAGGTTCATCCATGTCTCTACAAAGACACGAACTCATCTTTTTTGATGGCTGCATAATATTCCATGGTGTATATGTACCACATTTTCCCTGTCCATTCTATCATGGATGGGCATTTGGGTTGGTTCCAGGTCTTCGCTATTGTAAACAGTGCTGCAATGAACATTCGTGTGCTTGTGTCCTTATAGTAGAACGATTTATAATCCTTTGGATATATACCCAGTAATGGGATTGCTGGGTCAAATGGAATTTCTATTTCTAGGTCCTTAAGGAATCGCCACACTGTCTTCCACAATGGTTGAACTAATTTACACAAGATGAAGGCTTTTGAATAAAACAGACCAGGAATTGAAACCTGGCTCTGCAGCTTACATGCTGCATACCATCTATCTGTTTACCAACCCACTGAAAGCTTCCTTGTTTCATCTTTCATGAAGATAGTATTTTTTACCTCATGGCAGTATTAGGATTCATTAAGATGTACTGTATATCAAGAGTTTTTAGCCCAGTGCCTGGCACATGGTGGGTCTTCAATATGAGCCTGAGTTCATCAGTCTCACAGCCCTGACAATCTTAAATCTTTCCCAAGCCCATCTCTTCCATGCCTATTTCTTCCTCAGCGGATGCTCTTGCTTCTTCTGGACACCACACATTCTCCAACTCAAATATTTCTCTTATACAACTTCAAGAGAAAAAAACATAGTCCTTTCTTTTGTCTAAAACTCTGCAATAGCTTGTTTCTCATAGGGTGGGGGTGCCCAATCTTTTGGCTTCCCTGAGCCACATTGAAAAAATTGTCTTGGGCCACATAAATACACTATCACTAATGATAGCTGATGAGCTTAGAAAATGCAAAAAAAAAGTTTTCATAATGTTTAAGAAAGTTTACAAATTTGTGTTGGCCTGCATTCAAAGCCATCCTGGGCCATATGTGGCCTGTGGGTCATGGGTTGGACAAGGTTGTTGTAGGGTATAGTACAAACTACATCACACGGGACATAAAAGACTTCCCATGATCTTGCATCTGCCCTTGTGTGCAACTGCATCTGTATCCGTGCCTGCTTCCCACCTTGTCCCCCACCTCCTCCACGCCCTGTCTCCTGCTGTCTCCTCTATCTGGAATGCTGCTGCTGCTCCACTCCTTACCTTCATCTCTTCCGTGGTGCTAGCTCATAAAAAGACTCAACCCAGAGGTCCCACTTAGAAAGCCTTTGCTTAGCAGACCTCCCCAAGGAAGTGGGCACAGTCAAGCAAGTGAGGATAAAGCCTACATGGGCAGGTGGTTCATCTGTATTCTTCAGGATGCTCAACAAGGCAACACTGGATGGGCACCAATGCAGGGTGGTGCCTGAGCCTGGCTGACTCAAGACTTTGCTTTGAGGAAGCCAACCGCATTGTCATCCCTACCTTGAATCATGCCACTTCTTCCCTGGTCCCTCAAGGCTGCAGCTTCCTTGAGAATAGAAAGGGACTTTTTATACCTTTTGGCCTTCTTCTTCCTTCAATCCCCACCCACCATCACCACTCTTCACTCCCCCGACCCACCACCACTCACTTTGACATACACAATTACAGAAACTGAACAGCACATGATAGAGGAACACATTCAGGACTTAAATGAGCTAATAATGATGAGTCTTTGGGTTACCAACAGCAATCTTGGTGATCTGTTCCCTAAAATCCTATCCTAGAGGTGCTGATGCATAAGATTACTTCATCCATTCTGACATCCTCATCATGGTTTCATGTGCTTCCCAAGCCTGAGATTTGTGGGATTGTTACCCCATTACACGGGGCTTTACATGCACAAGCATTACCTTAGGAATGAAAAACTATGTTCTAGCGGGATGGTGGCTTGCTCAAGGTCATATGTCTAATTCAGTAGTTCCAGGGACAGTTTGATAATGTCCAGAGACATTTTTGGTTGTCACAACCAGGAGTTGCTACTGGCCTGTGGCCAGGGATATTACTCCACATCCCACATTTCACAGGACAGCTCCTGTAACAAAGAGTTATCCAGACCAAGATGTAAATAACACTGAGTTTGAGAAGCCCTGGTCTAAATAATTAGCTAATCAAGTTTCTTAGCAAAAGCAGACTTACTTGTGTCTTACGTATTAAAAAGAATTGACAAACATCTGGGACTTCAAGATATTTTGTTAAACAGATTTTGATTGTGATGATGCTGATTCTACCAGCAAAATGTGTATTGATAGTTCACCATTGAAACAATAACAGAGTTGTTTTTCCTGTAGAGATGACTCTCTGCATGTAATCATTTACACATTCTCTCCCTGCCCTCCCCAGTGGGAAGCATTTGCAGAACAATCAGCTAGGGTGGCAGGGGTAAGAGTGACTCCCTGTGACTGAGGAGAACCCCAAAATTTTGCCATGATCTTAGTGGCATTACTTTTTGCCCTGTCCAATTCAAGTTGCTCAAATAATATACTGTGTCATGGACAGTTCCTGGGCTGTCCTTGAACCTGAAGGACTGCCTCACCATCTCAACCTTCTTCCCATAGTGTCACCTCAAACCCAGGGCTGAAGTCCAGGAGCTGCACTGTCAGTTCCTCATCTGCTAACCATCTCTGTGGGTTGGCAGCAATCCCACCTTCGACTGGGATCATTCAGGAGCAGATGGAATGCCTTCTAAAAGTTGAATCAGGGTCACTTATATGCAAGGTACTATGCTATGTACTGTGAAATGTGCAAAAGAAGTATAACAAGAGATCCTCGTCTTATGGGAATTGACAGTATAAGAGAGAAATAGTACATATATAAGAAGAAATAACCAATGATTCAAGGCAGATAATTATACATTCTGAAGTCAGTAAATGCTGTAGGAATTTAGAGTTGAGAAAGATGTCTCTGAATTGGGAGGGTCAGAGAAAGGTACCCTGAAGGGTCACCCTGGCTTGGGAATGGGTCTCATGGTGAAGTTAGAAGTTAAGTGGAGATAAAGAGGGTTATGGAAGACATGCTTGAGAAATGGGGGGAAACCAGTCTGGCTGGGGTTGAGGCACTCAGTGAGAGAAAAGTCAGAGATAAAGTTGGAAAGACAGGTTTGCCCGATTATGGCAGACGCTGATTACCAGGCTAAGGAAGTGATACTTACTCTGTACATAAATGGGGAGCTGGGCGGGCTTGAGAGACAAGGCCCCAGTGAAGCCTCTCACCCCCAAATCAGTTTCCTCTTTTCCCCATCCTGGCTTGTCTAAAGGCATTGGCCTGGGAGCCAAGGATTCCAAACTTCTGTCACTGCTGCCTCCTCCTGACCCACAGCTGTTCCTGGAAAGGTCATGGGAATTCAAGGACCTGAAGCAAGTCCCACATCTGACCTCAACTTGTGTATGTTTCACTTTCTCAGTCTACAAAAATGAGCCCATTACCTTTGTTTATCAAAGGATCAACAAAATTAGGATAACAGAAGTTGGATCTGCTCTTGCTTGGAGGGAAACTTTCATGGGCTTTCCATTGGTATCCAGAGGCTGTGTGGAACTCCGGAAGACAGAGGCTTGGCTCTGAAGGGTAGGCACCAATCCAGGCCCGGCCCTCCTCCCTCCCTTCCCCCTTCACTCCCTCCCAGCCAGGCAAGAGGAAGCAGCAGCTGTTGTCCTGTGGGGAAGACAGGCAGAGGTCCACCTGGCACTGTTGGGATTTTCACAACACCCGCCCCAACTTAAACACACACACACACACACCCACACACACAACAGCAGCCCATAGAGAAGTTGGGCCAACAGCAGTGACTTCGGTGATGGAGTGAGAAGGAAGTAGGGGTAGAGATTGCTGGTGTAAGGGACTTTTTCTTTTCTTCTGTCTTTTCTCCCACCATTTTGTCTTCTGCTCTTGCTCTCTCTCTCATTCTTCCTCCTGTGAAACTCCTGAACCAGTCTCTGGCCTGATGCCTGGATCTTTTTGTTCTTCCTAACCTTATTCCCCTTCCTCCATCTTTTTCTGTTGCTCCATGAATGCGGTGAAGGCAAAAATAGCAAAATTAGCCTACCAAGTGCAAGGTGAAGCAGATCTTGGAAGCTGGATGGTTTAGGCACACAAACAAAATCACCTCCCTTATCCAAATAATTGAGGCAAAGCAAAGGTTTCAGCTGAATTGCACATGTGGTAGGTTCCACTCTATTTCGATTTTCATGTGCAAACTTAAACCTTTACTCTCTTTTCCCTTTGACCTGAGGCAGCAGGGCCATGTTTATTTCACTTTCACACAGTCCTAAGGCAGCCTTCTATACAGCCCAGCATACTGGAGTTGAAGAGCAAACTAGGATAATTATAATGACAGGAAAACACAAGTGCAGAGGGAAGTTAAAATCATGGCTTGAAAACATCTCACTCTAGGATAATGAGAAGTGGAAAGGAGGCCAAGCTAGGCATTCAGATGAGCTAGCAGCCTCCCACCCAGCCTCCACTCAAGAGCTGGACTGGCCTGTGCCGATACACGTTGATACACAGTCTACTTTAAAACGTGGCTTTTATCTCCTAACATTCATGTTTCTGTGGCAGCAGGCGCATAATTCTCTATCCAGAAGTTCAGCCTGCAAAGCTTCGGACACCTTAACAAAGAAGTGAACAGCTGTTCCCCCAGCCAAGGCCTGGCTGAGGGTAAACCAGAAGAGCCAGAGGCCTGTGTGAACTTGTTCTCGATTCTCTTTTGCCATCTAGTGGCATTTCTCATCTCCAACATCACTTTTCTAAAGATCCTGACCCCGCAATCCACAGCTGTGCTGTCCATCTCTTGAAATAATGTCCTCCTGGTCTCAAAACAAACTCCCCATCCTCCTGACTCAGAATCATAAATTCTGGACCAGAACACAACCTTATGATCAGGATGGGTTGTGTGACTTCTCCACTGTTATAATCCACACAACAGCCAGATAATCCTTTAAGCGGACAAGTCCTTTATTCATCTACTTAGAACCCTCCCAGGGTTCCCTATGGTGTTTGGACTAAAAGTCACAGGCCTTCAAACGGTCTCTAAGTCTTCCCGTGACCTGGTCTCTGGTCCCTCTCTGGACCTCTCAGTCACCTACTCCAGACACTGGACACACTGCTGTTCCTCCAGCACCTTAGGTATCTATCTGTCCTGGGGCTTTTGAAGTGCTACTGTCTCCAGTGCAAACATTCTTCCTCCAGATAATCAAAGTTCACTCTTATCTTCAAGTCTCTGCCCCAGAGTCAGCAACTTCAATGATCTTACATAAAATTACTGACCATCAACCCCTATCCCGTCCTACTTTTTTCCCTAGCAATTATCACTTTGAGCAAAGTATTCATTTTTTTTTTTACTGTCTTTCTCCAGTGGAATGTAAGCTCCACAAAGGCAGGGATTTTTGTCTTTGTTGTTGTCGTTGTTTGTTTGTTTGTTTGTTTTTCAAGACAGGGTCTCACTCTGTCACTCAGGCTGGAGTGCCGTAGTGCAATCACGGCTCACTGCAGACTTGATCTCCTGGGCTCAACCAATCCTCCCACCTCAGCCTCTGGAGTAGCTGGGACCACAGGCATGCACCACTATGCCTGGCTAATTTTTCAAATTTTTTGTAGAGACGAGGTTTTGCCACATTGCCCAGGCGGGTCTTGAAATCATGACCTCAAGCAATCCTTCTGCCTTGGCCTCCCAAAGTGCTAGGATTACAGGTGTGGACCACTGTACCTGACCATTTTTGCCTTTTTTGTTCAGTAATCTATCCCAAGTATTTTGACACTTAGTAGGTGCTCGATAAATGTTTGTTGATTATGTAAATGAAGGATGCCTGAGATTCTGAGATTATCTACTACTTACAGGTAAATTCTGAAAACAAAAATACTATTCACCTCGGTTTCACAGGCCTTCTCACCCACAAGGGGCGATGCTCTGCCTTGTGTCTCAGTTCTCCTGAGTGTCATATTCCAAGCTCACAGGAGCCCCTGGAGTAGCACTGACCCAGACACTCCACACAGTTGTAACCACCGCAAGGAACAGGACATACAAGGTGAAGGAAGCACTAAGGCAGGATGTCGAGAGCAGCAACACCAACAGCGTCTAAACACAAACATTTGAGCAGTATGAAAGTTTTGGATTTTTCAATAAAGAGGGGAGGGAACAAGTAAAATTGAGAGATGTTGGCTGCCTTCTCCAGGTAAAGCCATGTGGCCTTCGTTGGTACCTGGAACTGGACAGGCCCAGAGGAATGAATCGCTGTGGAATGGCTTTGCCATTGGGGACGGTGCTGGGTATCATGACCGTGATGATTCATCCACTTCCCTCATGTCTCTTCCATCTCCTCTAAAAAATAAGCAATATCTTCAGATGACAAGGAACCAGACAAAGCATCTTCCTAGGCTGTTCTATCTGTACCTCAGGTCAGAGAAGAAGCAGCCCTTAACCCCACAGTGACTGAGTTTTCTCAGGATCCTGAGCCAGAGGTGTGTATGAGAGGACATAAATGACAACTCTTCCTGAAATTGATTTCAGTTGACACTGGGTCAGGTGCTTTATCAAAGAGTCATTAAAATCATGTGACCAGAGGACAAATATAGCCTTTGAATGTGACGATTCAAGCTTCCTCATTGCTGAACATGTTTAGGCAGATACAGGTGTCCTTAGGTATCCATGTATTTGGGAATTCTAAGTGGAGAGGCATGAACCTGATTCATTTCCTGATCCAGTGATGCTCCTCAGCCCGCCCCCAAACAGAGACAGCACAGCCCAGGCCAGCTCTTAAGGAGTTCAGGAGTGAGAAGAGGCCCTCAGAGTTCTGACAGCCTATAAGTGTGTGGATGCAGCCCCAGCCCACTGAGCAGGAGTCACAGCAAGAAGACCAAGTACAAAGGTGAGGCTGCGGCAGGAGCTGGAGAGGAGTGAGGACAGAGAAGGAAGGATGGGTTCTGATCAGATGAGAGTACACTCAGGTGAGTGATAAAATGGATAAAGGAGGGACTGGATTTAGGGGAGATGAGGACACACATTGGGGAAAAGGGAGAGTGATGTTGGGGATGGAGGCGAAAAATGAAAAAGAATGGGAACACAGGGGAGATGGGAATGGGGATGGGGAGGGGATAAGGCAGACACAGGAACATGGGGACACAAAGGAGATGAGACTTGAGGGAAAGGGGAGAGGACAGAGTGACAGGCAGCAGGGCCAGAATGAAGGGAGGAGAAATACAAGGTGAGAGATGGGGCACAGTGGATGTGGACACACAGAAGAAGAGGCAGAGATGAGACACAAAGGGAGGAAAGGAGACAAGTGCCTAGGGAGATGGGTGATTAGCTCATATGAGCAGGTATAGGAGGACTAATTTCTCGACTGAACACTGTCCCAGTGACCCCTGCCCTCTATTCTGACTGCTCCCCCTAAGAGAGATGGCACCGGCCAGAGCAGGATACTTCCCCTTTCTGCTGCTGCTGCTGCTGGGGCTGTGGGTGGCTGAGATCCCAGTCAGTGCCAAGCCCAAGGGCATGACCCCATCTCAGTGGTTTAACACTCAGCACGTGCAGCCCAGCCCTCAAGCATGTGACTCAGCCATGAGAGACATCAACAAGCACACAAAACGGTGCAAAGACCTCAACACCTTCCTGCATGAGTCCTTCTCCAGCGTGGCCGCCACCTGCCAGACCCCCAACATAACCTGCAAGAACGGCCATAAAAACTGCCACCAGAGCCATGGGTCCGTGTCCCTGACCATGTGTGGGCTCACCTCAGGGAAGTACCCGAACTGCAGGTACAAAGAGGAGCACCTGAACAAGTTTTACATAGTGGCCTGTGACCCTCGCCAGAAAAAGGACCCTCAGCAATTCCACCTGGTTCCTGTGCACTTGGACAGAGTCCTTTAGGCTTCCAGATCTCCTCACTCTTCGGCTGAGCCTCAGGTCCCTCTCCTGGGCTCTGCATCACTCCTCCTACACCCAGAGCATTCTCTTCCCCTCATCTCTTGGGACTCTGGTTCAGCCTCTGCTGGGAGGCTGAAGCTGACACTCTGGTGACCCGAACTCTAGAGTCATGGCCTTTCATCTTTTTGTTGCTGTTTTCCCAGATGCTTATCCCCAAGAAAGGGGCTGAGCAAGCTCAAGGCTGTGTGTTCCCTGGTCTCTGCCTTTGCACATGTCTCCCTTGTCCTCTGGCATTATGGCATTATGGCAGCATGACAAGGGGAGGAAATACATGGAAAAGGGGCCTATGATTTGTGGATAGAGCTGTTTCTGTTCCTGAACTAGAAGTCTTCCCCAGCTCTGACGTGGTAGTGAGGTGAAGCAAAGAAAAATATAAAGAAATACCACTTCATATTTTTATAGCACTTCCACGTGAACCCTCTAATCCCTTGTGACATAGACTTGACAGGGATTGTATGCCTTCTTTATGGATGAGGAAATTGAGATTTTAGAAAGCTTAATTAATTAAATAGCCCGTCTAATTAGTGAGCAGCAGAACCTGGACTTGAACCTAGGTTTCCTTGCTTAAATATAGCATACTTTCTACTCTACCAGTTGGGCAAGAAAGCAGATACTGTTACAGGGGCAAGAGGTGAACTAGGTAAGAGTTCACCCATGAAGAATGAGTGCTCTGAAGAGCCAGTTACCCTGTGTTGGCTGCAATGAAGCTCATTACCTCTCTAGCCACGAGATTGTTTATGAGGTGCTCTGGCATCTTATTCATTCTCTCTCCTCTCTCTAACTGCCCCTCCCGCTTCTCTAGCCCACTGCTCTTCCAACCTAGGCGCTGGGCCTGGCTCTGGCTAGATCCCCTTGGCCTGAAGATGTAAGGTAAAGGGAGTGCCTCAGCTTCAGCCCCCAGATCCAGGATCGCATTTCCCTTGACCTTAAGGGACTTCCGTGGCCCTGAGCCTGCTTGTCACAAACAGGCTGGTGGGAGCTGCCAGAGCTTCCTTCCTCCTGATAATGATCTCCCCTGCTTCGTTGCTTCCCTGGCTCTCCACTCTGGCAGTCTGCCGAGGCCTGAGGGGTTGAGATGCGAAAATGCCATTTCCCTGTCCCCCTGGGCTACAGATACCATTTCTCCCTCTCTGGTGAGTGGAGCGGAGAAGGCTTGGCTTGATATTGGCCAGTCCTGATGGTCCCTCCAGCATTATCTGACCAGCACCATCCCCTTCTTTCTTCCTCTATCTCAGTCTCAAACAAGCATTGTGCCCTCCACCCTATTTCAAACCCAAATTTATAAGACATTCCCGGCCGGGCTGAGGATTCCACTCTACCAATCCCTCCCCACCAACTCCTGTGCTTTTTCACTACTGACCAGAGTCAGAGTAAGCTTCGGAGCCGGACAGAATCAGGTATAAATCCTGACTCCCTGCCTCTAGCAATTGGCTGGTCTGTTTCTCTACAGCAAAATGAGAGTAATCCTACCTGTCAAACAGGATTGCATACAAAGATGTGGAAATGATATCTATGAAACTCTTGTCAGCCCCAAGTACTGACAGGCATTAGATCACGATAACTAATAGTAGCAATATCCATCTTCGGAAAACACGCAGATCCAAGGCAAACCTCCCCACTAAGGTTTCCCCAGAGAATTTCTTCTGCCAGAGTGTTGTTCATGAGTGGGTTAGACTACAAGCCTGCAGACAGAGTCCTGGGCCCAGAGAGCCATGGCCTTGGAAAGAGCCGTAAGTTCCACCAGTGGTTCTCACTGGTAAATCTTGGAGAAGACATGATACTCTCCAGCTCCGCCATTACTGCTAATATAAGTAAAGTTTGTAAAATTCATACCTAATAAAAAATTTAGGACAGTCATGTCTGCTTACAGGTGTTACTTGTCTGTTAAAACTAGTCTACAGATTGTTTCGTGAATGCTTTGTCAAATTAAGAAAGTTCAAGTGCAATAATCTTTGAAGACAATACGTGATGGCGTATCTTGTTTCTAATAAACTTTTTTGTCTTTGCTTTATCTTATTAGGGAGTTAGATGTCAGTGTATAAAATGTACTGTGTGGTGTAACAGGTTTAAAATAAACTCTTTAAAAGAAGACTTCTGAACTAGCCCTGTAGATTTGTCTAGTGCATGTGATGAAATCTGTAGCTTTATTGGGGTGAGGGCAATGCCCTGCTGGTTTACTTTCAAGTGGCTGGGGTGTTTTTAGTTTGACAGGTGCAGACTTTTTAAATTGGGCTTTGCTTTAGAAAGTAAAGGTGGGAGGATGACATCTTAACTATGTCATGATTATATTTAGAAAATTATGGGCACAAATCTGAGTTAGCCTGAAGAAAATTGCTTCAGTCTCCACAGTACCATTTTAAGTTCACATAAAAGGTGACAGCTCTTGGTTCACTGTCATGGCTTCATGGCATTCAGTGGTGAGTGGTAGTGGTATAAACACTGGTATATTTTGAAATTGAATGTTAGATAAAATTATTAGCCTTAAGGTTGGTAAGCTAGTGATCAATGCTAGAGTGGGAAGCTGGCAAGCCAGTGGCCATTAGATAAATGCCTTTCAAGTGCGAGCTTAGAAGTCAACCCTAAAATACTTAACTGTAACAGTTATTTGTGATCATTATGAATCCCTTCAGTCACATTAGGGGGGAAAGTAGTTGAGTATATACCTCAGTCTTAGTCCAGTCAGTCTTAAAAATATCTTGGGTTACCCACTCTGTCCACTCCCATAGGCTTCAGGAAAAGTCATACAAGTGCATGATTTCCAACCATATGTGTTTTCTGCAGTAATTTCTCTTGTTCCTGGCCAAACTACCCCAAAAATCCTTACCATTCCACAGAGTTGTGCCATCATTTATGCACCCACTTTCACTTTAAGTGTACCACCACATTGCATTTCTGTTTGCGTCATGTCTTTCAGGAGACTAGGCTACTGTTTTCCAGGGCGAATTTGAGTGTAAAGAAAATGTAGACAAGGAATTGCCCAATTCCAAATTCTGACTTTGCTGACTTAATTTAAATGCTCATTTCTCTGAACCCATTTTCTCCTATCTTCTCTGGGGGTTTCAAAAGGCTTCACTAATTGATTTCCAAGAAATACTCATGGCAAGTTCATAAAAGTTCTTGAGGCCTAAATTTCTTCTCAAGAAAAGATCTTAAGTTATACCTTTTGATTGTGTAGAGGTTGTTCCACTAAATGAATAAATGTCCATTAAACAAGAAAGAAAGAAAGAAAGGGAAAGAAAGAAAGGAAAGAAAAGAAAAGAAAGAAAGAAAGAAAGAGAAAGGAAGGAAGGAAGGAAGGAAGGAAGGAAGGAAGGAAGGAAGGAGAAATCGAGAGAGAGAGAGCGAAAGAAAGAAAGAAGGGAGGGAGGGAGGGAGGGAGGGAGGGAAGGAAGAAAGGAAGGAAGGAGAGCAGATTATTGAACAATTCTAACAGAATGAGGGCCAATAAGTTGAAGAGTTGGCCACCACAGCCAAACGACTGAGCGTAAAAGTAACTACTACCTGGAAACAGAACATTGAGATTATCGAATGGACTGCTGGGATTCTTGAATAAATCTGAAGTTTATCCAAATTCTGAATTTGTTTTGAACTCCTGTGATCGCTACACTACATTCACCATTCTAAGGAATGATTTTCACTTGAGATGCATGGAAAAGCAAGATACTTGGGGCAGCCGATTTTTCTCTTCATTTTATTCTTTTTTCACAATCTACTTTATTGATGATCTTTCTTGTGGATAATACTGTTTTTCGCAAAATTTAAAGTGGCTAAAATTATGCCTTTAATGCATCTTCCCAAAATAAGAAGAGTTTCTAAATAAAACTTTTTTCTTGAAAGACTGATGACCTAAATAGCATTAAATAACCAGAAAGTCCTGAAGTAGTCTGTGGTGATAGAGTTCAGAACAGTTGTAGCCTTGGGGAATTACTGACTGTGAAGGGGCATGGGGAGCCTTCTGTGGTCCTGGAAACATTCTGTTCTTGGTCTGGTTATGTTTCCTGTGTGAAAGTTCATTGAACTATATACTTAAGATTTGTTTCAAGAAGCAGCAGGTGGTCATACAAATAAATAAGAAAAAAAAGATTTGTGTACGTAAGTTATATCTCAATTTCAAAAAAATCTTTAAAAAATATATACTTCTTAAGGAATTATTTTATTTACATAATAAATTATAATACACCAACCAATTCTAAAAAGATCATGATATAATTAAATCATAGATAGAATTATGATAAGATCTAATTTCTATTGTTCTTCTTTGTACTATATGTTAAATTAAATACTACTTGTGCTATTTATTAAGTTGTTATAAATACCTTGGGTCAGCCGGGCACGGTGGTTCTCACCTGCAATCCCAGCACTTTAGGAGGTCTGACTAGAGCAGATCATTTGAGCCCAGGAGTTTGAGACCAGCCTGGGCAACATGATGAAACCTCATCTCTACAAAAAATGCAAAAATTAATTGGGTGTGGTGACACATGCCTGTAGTCCAAGCTACTCCAGAGGCTGAGGTGGGTGGATCTCTTGAGCCCAGAAGGTCGAGGCTGCAATGAGCCATGATCTGCACTGTAGCCTGCCAACTAATTTCCTATTTTTATATTACTTGTCAACTAATTTCCTATTTTTTAACCATGTGGAAATTTTTGATAATCATTTCATACATAATATAAGCTTTTATAACCATTAATAATAGCATCTTTCTTAAAATAATAATATGCATTTATACTTCCACTAACGGACAGAATTCCAACATAAGAATTTTTTTTTTAAGTTCACAAGGAAAATTTCACACCAAGTTACATCTAGAATGCTCACAAATATTTGGAAGTAACTATTCAGATATTAACAATAAATCCAAATGATCTGGCCTATTCTCATTACTGGTGCCCTACCTGTTTAGATTTGACAGTCACTCAATCCTTCACATGATCTCGATCACAGCCAAGTTTAAGGATGCCAGGAATAGTGATGAAATAGGAATTTGGCGACTCAGCCTTCCAAAAGCCAAAACTGAGATACAAGAAAATAATAATTTGGGTCAAATACCAAGGCTGGCTGAACTGTGATGCATTCCTATTTGAAAGCTGAAGAATGGGAAAAGGAGAATGCTTAATTATAAGATATTCTATTGCTGGGGCTGGGAGCATGGAAAGAAGAGGATGGTGTCCAAGGGAGCTCTGCCCAGTCTTATGCAGATGGACTTGAAGAGAATTGTTTCAACATTGGACCAAAGGAGCGGAAACGGAGATCAGTAAAGACTGTAACCCAAGACCTGGAGCCAGATGAGCTGGCTCTCCTAGGAGGGAGACTATCTGGGGTAGACTGGGGAGGAGACTTTTCTACATGACTCTGGTTCCCAGAACTCTCCACACACTGAAGTAAATGAGCCTTAGACACCATGAAGAGGGCCAACAGAATCACTGGGAAGAGAAGGATCCTTAGCTGCAGGGATTTCCTCTGCCTACATCTTGCCCTTAAGATCAGGACCCTTTGGCCCTCTTCACAGTGTCTAGGGCTCTGGAGAACCCTCAAGCTATGGCACCAAAAAAGAAAGGAGTAGTAACAACATCCAGGGAGCCTCTCTTCTCCTTGGGAGAGCTTCGACTCATTTCATCACATTTCTTCCATGCGCCTGCACAACTGAGCTTCCAAAAGTGTCCTCCCTCTACCCCTACCTCACCACGAATGGGCAAAAAGAAGAGCAGTTATAGCTTTTACCAGGATGC